ACTCATAGGTTAATTTCATTTAGCAAAGTCAACTTAGCAATTCAAGTATAATATCCAGCCGCGTTGTTCTGCAAGTTGAAAAAGGACAGAACTGATTTCACCTGATTTGACTGATTTCACCGACCCTCATTTCACTATGTCCTGCACGTTTCGCACATGCTCAAAACTTCTTGGCCGAAAACTCGAAATTTTAGTGCCGTCAGTCGCCGGTCAGCCAGTTGCAGCGCTACCTGCGTAACGCGGTAACAAGGACCCCCATATGATTGCCACCTCTCTTATTTTACTTACTCTATGGACTGACCATCGATGCCTTTTTTCTTTCCGACCGCTCCCCCGAAGTCCCCTTGGAACCCGACCTCGATCGAAGGGCGCGCGGGTAGTTCCAGGGTGCAAGCGAGTAATGTTCAGGACCGGCCGGAGGAAAAAAAATAAAAAATTTGCGATTCTTCCCCTCGGCACGTCATTATGGACAATATTTTGATATGATTTTGTCTCGTTCGGAACTTACTGCATTGTAGAAGACTCAAGACATTAAGCGAAAAATAATGCCAGCGAGTTAATAACATTTTTGGAACTTTTTTTATTGGAACACGCATAGTCAGTGGTAGTGAAATTATGTAAGTTATTGTTGACAATTACAGCTATTAGCGCCTCCGTAGAACATAGTTTTCAGCGCTAAAATGGATCACGACTTACTTGCGACTTGCGAAACTGCACAGGACAAGATTATCTCTCTAGTGTTTCTCTTTTAGCAATTGAAAACAATCTTGTTAGGATAATGTCACAGTATCCCCGTTTCTGCAACGACATTATAGTCGAGTCAGCGAAAAATGGTAGAAGATTCAAATTGCATTATAACCAGGTACAGTTTTATAAATTGGTTTCCTTCTTTCAAATTTCACCACACACCCCTAAACAGTACTTACACATATGTGCATACATTGACAATGATTGTTTTGTCTTGTGTAATGTAAATATGAATTTTGTATATACAATTAATTTCGAAGCAGAAAGCGAGGGTCAGTTAAAAGAACAAGAAACTGCTAAAAAATTATGAAAAAGATTGAATCAAAATTATTCTAAATGTTAAATCCGGTATAATTTATAAAATCTATGTTCAATTTATTAAATTCTTTTGGCTCTTTTATGCAAGGCAAAACTTCCAGGGATCGTTTTACCGCCGCCCAGTCCAGAATCCTGCTGCAGTACACTGAGTGTTCGTTTACATGCTATATGTTATATGCTATATATGCTAAAGATTATGTATATCGTAAGTGTAATTGGATATTTCCTTATGCTAAGTTGGCTAATAAAGATATCATAACTTTGGTTATAGCTTTTAGGCTACCAATCAGCATTGTGTGATTTTCCAGCGCTTACAATTGGCGGCGGTTTTTCTGCCTTCTTGGGCTTATTTGCAGATTGCAGGACTTCTACCATCATCTTCCTGTTCAACCCCTTCGGTGGAGTTGGGAAGTGTTGGAGGCTCGTCTACGTGTGGCGGCTGGATGGGCGCAAACCGGTTGTGATGTTATTGCCTTTGCTTTGTCCGTGGCTGATTTTTTTGAAGCCGGGGTTGAGGACGCCGATGATGTAGGATTCGACTTGGGCACCCTACGCCCTTTTCTTAGGATCATGGTACGTATCGAGGAAACCTGGTAATTGCCCGATAAGAAATTCTGCTCTTTCTATCAGCTTCAAAAATGTGCATAAATTGTTAGAATAGATGTGTATAGATGATCGAAAATGGAGAAAGAAATATAATTCGCAGAATACACTAGAGCACTACACAATAAATAGCACGACCAATCGGTTTACTGGTCGATAATGAATGTGAATACTCCTTTTAAATAGCATGTTTTTATAGCAGGGTGAGCAACCTTTTTAACTAACATTAATTTTTTTTCGCTATTTAATTTTTTTTTTGCGAGCCGCACATAATTTACAAAACTTTCGGTATTTATAATAAACATTAGAAAAATATTAAATTTATAAAAAGTAAAGGTTTCATATAAGAATTTTAATACAAAATAAACTACAAAAACACACAGAACAGAAAAACGAATTTAATTGAAATTTTTAATGAGAAATTTGGCACCCTTTTTTCTATACAAGCTGATCAATACCAGCCGAAATTCGTGCATAAGTCTCTGAGCATATTAAGCATACATAGCTCTATCTTTGTCGAAAGTGAAGAAATAATTAAATTTCCATTTTTCTTGAAAATGCCTGTGCTCATCCGCAACCTTCCGTTTTTTTGTTTGCTGTTCCGACATGCTATTATCGATTAAAAATTTGAAGGAGAAGTTAATTGTGAATAGAAAAACTCTAATATTACCTTTTGGACAATAATAGTGCGCTCACTCCTTTCAAGAAACGAAAGAACTGCTAGTTAAGAGCTTACCAGTCTGACTGATTGTGTGACAGAAGGAAACTCAAACAAGCACCAGACGTGTGGCGCGGTTATGTTGCATGTTTGAACAAGTAGCC